CCTGGGTTATTTTCTTAGGGTTTTGGTGGTTATTTTTAAACATAATTGATTTTAGAGTTATTTTGAAATGTCTGCCCTATTTCCATGCTGCTTCTTTATTGTTTTGCTCTGTGGGCTTTAGTGAATCTACTGTATACTCTGAAAAAACTGGATTTGGGGTTTATGATTACATAGAAGCAGTGCCCTGTACGCGGTAAATAGTCTCTTTGAAAGGAAAAAAATCATACAGATTTTTTTTCTTTTATTGCTGGTCGTGGGCCTGAACTCTAGGACTGGACACTGTCCCTGAGCTCTTCAGCTCAAGGCTAGCGCTCTACCACTTGAGCCATAGTGCCTTTCCAGCCTTTCCTGGTTATGTGGTGTTGAGGAATTGAACCCAGGGCCTCATGCATGCGAGGCAAGCGCTCTACCGCTGAGCCACCTTCCCAGCCCCCAGATTTTTAAAAACACAGTCTAATGCACAGCTCTTTAGTAATTCCCCAGATGTCTGTAAGTTGGAGTTTTACTTGGTTCAGGAACAAGGCAGTGTTCTTCTCCAGTGGCCAGGTTGTTGCTCCTGTGTGAAGACACACCCAGAGGCGTCGTCTTGGGGACCCACTGGGTTTTGGTTGATGGACTGAGCTATGGCTCTCTGTCTGTTGTAGCAGCTCACTCCAGCCTAGTGCTAGCCACTCTGGTGTAGTGCTGAGCACAGTTGGAGTTGACTCCCCCCCCCCCCCACGAGAATCTCCTTCCCCCTTCCTCTGAGCAGTACATGAAGGTTTGTTTCCTCTTATGGCTTTAGCCACAGGACTTGGAGATGCCCTTTGCACAAGCTTGTTGCTCTTGACTGTGTGAGGACGTACTTGGTGCTTACATGGGCCTCCTGGTGGGACGGGTCCCTCTGGCGTGCTTCAGGAGGCCAGCCCCCCTCCTCAGCTTCCTTTGCCATTTGGAAGTCACCAGCCACATCCCTGATGGCCTGTCACAGCTGCAACTGCTGAGGGAAGAGACAAGGAAACAAGATGGCTTGTTTCTTGGAAGAATTTTGCCCTTGTGCTTCTGGGGCGCATGGAAATGGTGCTGGGCGCCCCACCAGGGGAAAGCCAGCTTGTTCATTTCTTTGAGCTAAAAACATCAGCAAGGAAATCTTGCTTTGATATCACAGGGGAATGCAAGTATGGGAGATAAATGGTAGGCTCTGTGCTGAAGAGAATATGAAACGTGTATGTATACTGTTTCTGAGATGGTGACAGGATTTCTGCCTTCACTGTTCTCCTGTGACTGAAGAAAGTCCCTAGAGATATTTGGCAGCTCCATTTTAAGTTTTTCTGTCCAGAAAGTTGAATGGTAGAACTATTAAATTAAGCTAAATACTTTACCTCCACAAGAAGAATGTTAGCTATATTCTTTCTGGTGTTACCTATAATTTAAGTATTTAAATGAATTTCTCTTTGTCTCAGTATACATGATCTGCATATGTAAGCCTATGTTTGGAGATTTAAATAAACACAGCTGGTTGTTTGGATAAGATAGTTATATGTTTTCTTTTCTAAAGCACCTATATTTATGAATAAATTCCTGATGCATGGTATGGTACAAGAGATCACAAGAGATCCCTCAGGACAGCCAGGAAGCAGAGAGAGAAGGGGGACTACAGGAGGGAGGGCAGAGAGAGTGAACCCTTGAGTTAAGTTCCCCTCCACTTTTTTGGGGGGCGGGATGTATATGTGTGTCCCACCCTGGTGCTTGAACTCAGAGCTGGTTGTTGTCCCTGAGCTCAAGGCTAATGCCTTGCTTTTCTTAGCTCTACTCAGCCTTTTATTTGGTCTTCTTTGATCTCTGCTTACAGTTAAACTGTGTCTTGATACTTCTGACATGTGTTGTATAGTTAGTTGATCATTGTAATTTTTACCTTGCTAAAGGATAATCTTGTAGTTGCTAGAAATACTTCACTCTTGTAGAATTCACTCTAGGAGTTTCATGACGTATTCATGATACAGAATTTCCAGTAGTTGGCTGTGATTGCTCTTTTGATGGAGGGCAGTTGTGCTGGAGGGAAGAAAGGTCTCATTCCGGAGCATAGTCATGTGGATGAACTCTGGGCCTAGGTGGTGTCCCTCAGCTCTTCAGCTCAAGGTTAGTGCTCTATCACTTGAGACACAGTGCCACTTCCGGTTTTCTGGTGGTTTATTAGAGATGAGTCTCACAGCCTTCCCTGCCTGGGCTGGCTTGAACTGTGATCCTCAGATTTCAGCCTCCTGAGTAGCTAGAATTACAGCTACTGGCGCCCGGCTTCCAACTTCTTAAAGGACGATAGAACAACCAATCTGTGTGTGTGTGTGGGGGGGGTGGTACTGGTCTTCAACTCAGAGCCTGGGCACTCTCTGTAGAGTTCCTTTTGCTCAGGGCTAGCATTCTGTGACTTGAGCCACAGCTCCATTTCCAGCTTTTTGTTAGTTTATTGGAGATAAGAGTCTCATGAACTTTCCTGCCTTAGTTGGCTTTGAATACAATTGTCAGATTTCATCCTCCTAGTAGGTAGGATTCTGGGTGTGAGTGTGCACTGCTAGAACAACCATTCTTACCTGAGACCACCCCTTGAAGAGTCATTGGCCAGTCTATTAAAATTCATACCTGGCTTTGATAATGGAAGAATAGAGACAGCCTGATGTCAGGAGGACATGGACTAGTTAGGACAAAAGAAAGCCCAAACTCCTGGATTTCTAGGAATGCTGTCTAAGGAAGTTTCAGTAAAAGGCAAATGCCATGTCTGTTGTGTATGTATGTTGCCAACTGGGTAAAAGAGGGCGAAGTTGTTACAGAGACTTGCTTTTCTATCATGAGATCTATCTCTGAGATTACATGAGACCCGTGGCCTGTTGGCTGTGTGGCTGGACAGACTGGGGGTCGGGGGTGGGGGGAGAGGAGGTTTCTCTATTTTTGTACCTTTGCAAGTGTTTGACTCCTAAGTTGACTTACTAATACATGACCTTATTTCCCATACAAGAAAATTGTATCACAATGCCATTCACAATGGCCTCCTTGCTGGCTGGTAGCTGTTCCTTTCTTCGTGCCTAGGGAGTGCTGGGAATGCAGGCGAGCAGCGACTCGAGGCAGTGGGGAAGCCTGTGGAGGGCTGTGTCATGTTCTCAGGGTGACAGCCACAGTCATCACACACCTGGGGGTGAGAAGCCACTTCAGTGCTGTGAGGCGTTCTGATGTGGTTTCGTGCCCTAGTTCTTGAGCTGTGGCAGTGGGGACACCAGACCTTGCCGGGGTAGGTGAGGAGCACTGGCATTTTGGCAAAGTGCTAGGCATGTGTTTGGGTGGGGCCTGCCTTGTGTGTCTTATTAGGAAGAAGCTGGGTAAATGATGGGTTTAGGGAGAGAGCCTCAGTTAATTGTCTGGGAGGGTGGGGCTTTGGAACACCCCAGCCCGAGGGTGTGGCCACTGTGCTTGGCCCATTCAGGAAGTAGCCTGGTTGCACCCAGGGTTACCCAGGCTTTGCCCAACCTGCTGCCTAGAGGCCAGACTGTGAGGGGACCTTCCCTCCCAGTGCAGAGTTTATCTTTTTGGCCACAAACCCAGTGTGGGGTGGGTGGGACAAAAGGGATGAGATCTGAGTCGAGAGTACAGATACAGGCCAAAAGTCCCAGGGCCTCTCAAGAAAAGCAATTTAGATTTTTGATGTCATCCAGAAAGACACTGGTCTGCGCTTCAGGGAGGCCCCGGCTAGGGAAATGGGCCAGTGGGCCTGCAATGGAATGAAAGGAAGGTACAAAACATTCATTTTCCTGAAACCCGGAAACAGGTCTGTTGTAGCCTGTGCAGGGTAGTTTTCTGAGTGTGAATGGCTAGTGAATGACCCCCATGCCTGTGTGCGTAGAGCAAATACACACTTGCCATCTACGGCTGTGTGTCTCCCAGCTAGCCTGGACTTGCTGTCATTTATTAGGCATCCACTGTGAATATACAGTTAACTTAGGTTTTCTTCCTTTAGTTCTGAAGACCAAGTTAAAAAAAAAAAATCCTGCGCTCCAGCGTATAAGGCGCCTTGGATTGCTGTCAAGTGGAAAATACCTAAAGTGAGCTTGGACAGAGGTAGTTGCCCAAGGCAAGGAGAGGGAAGAAAGACAGAAGAATTTTCCTGACTGGAAGTGCAAAGCAAAAGAGGCCTGGGAATTGGGACACCTTCTCTATCTGTGATGGTTGGTGTGTCCCAGATGTTTCTTAGTCCTTTGGGTACAACATCTAAGATCAGGGTACTTCCCCAGGTGCAGTAAAAGAACCACAAACAGTAGGAAGATAGCAAGGGATGATGAGCCAAGTGAGGCATACTGTGGGCAATTGGATAAGACCCCAGCTGTATCAAAGCTGTCTGTAGCCATTGAAGGCTTAGGCCTTTAAGGTTTGACAGTGGGGTCACTAAGTGACACAACATCTTCTGTGGCTCCTCTCTGAATGGCTTGAAGAGTGTACAGCGCTTACCCCAGGAAGTTACACTTGTGCCCTGATCCTCTGTCCTCCAAGAGAGGCCGCAGAAGATGCTGCAGTCAGGCAGTGTGAGGAGGTAGGGCTGAAGGACACGGACACTGTTATTGCCAAGCCTGCTTTTCTGGAAGGTTCAGAAGAGAGTATTAGTACCTTTGAGGATGTTGGAAATTGGTTGCCTTTGCACACACCAGGCTCCCTTGGCACCTGTGCTGGAGAGCAGTGTGTGGTCTCCTTTGTTCACAGGATCCTGGAGGTGCTGTACTGGATGCCCAGCTGCAGGCCTAGGACAGGAGCAGCTGTTCAGGTGCAGCATACCTTGCTCCCCCCGTAGGTTGGGACCAATGCCCGACCCCTGACCCTGCATCTGCGGTGCACTGTGCACTTGTTACACAGGCGCACTCTCCATGCTGATACATGTTTAGAGAACTGTCTAGATCCAAAATAGCAACAGTCTCTCTTCAGTTATTTGAAATGGTTTTCCTGGTTTTGTTTAAAGTAACTTTCTATTGTTTTTGATTGCACAGGATACTAAATTGTGGATAATAATGGAGTATCTTGGAGGAGGTTCCGCACTGGACCTGGTAAGTACTGTGCAAGCCCGTTCCTGCTTAGTTTTGCTTTGAAAGATGATTCTGAACCCATTGCCTCCCCTTCTTTCAAGTTGCATGAAAAAAAGTACCAAACTATTTCTATGTATTTGGTGTTTCTCACCTAGTACTGAACATTGAAAGGAGTTTGGTTGTTCCTGTACAGAGACACCACTGAGCAATCTTTTGTCTGGAATTTTCTTACCTGAGAACATGTGGTGGTTATTTTCCCGAACAAGTTTCTTGGCTTTTATATAGTTGGTAACTGCCGTGGTTCTACAGTTCTGACAGTAGCTTAACTCCCAAATACATGTATCACACTGATCTCTGGAGGCAGAGGCAGAGGCTGGATGACGTGTGGGCTCAGTGGGCAGGCAAAAGGCTGGAGCTGTGGCCATTTTTGTACAGTATGTCTGGATGGACCAGCCCCGGCCCAGGGCTGTTCTTCCTCTGGATTTGCCTTTGAGATCTGTAGTCAGCTCTGGGAAGATTGTGGAATCTAGGAGCAGGTGCTTTGCTTGTCGAGTCACACAGGACTTGGTGTTGGGCTTTGTAGAGAATACACAGGTGACCAGTCCTCGCTAGCACAACTTACCTCATCCTAGAAACCCACCATGTCACCTCACACCCTTGCCATCTCAACCCTACAGTGTGGCCAGCCAGTAAAACAGGCTAGGAGAGAGAGGGACCCGCTAGGTGGGGGAATCCTTGGCTTTAGCCTGGCGCAGGGTGCTGGGCCCGTGGCTATCTCTCTGTCCTCACAAGCACCAAGGGAGGCAGGGCTTTGAAGCTACAGTCTACAGTTTTACTCACCAAGGAAGCCAGGAAGCTTCACATGGTGCCAAGCTTCTAGGTAGCTTTCTGCAAAGGTAAACTTCTAGAACCGTGTGTATGTTTAGAAAGTGAATGTGCCCAATTTAGAAAGTTAGACTGCTATAAACTGTTTTAAAAAAAAATGGGTCAAAAGTAGTGTCAAAAAGGAAAATTTTGAGGAAAAAATGTTTTATGTAAGCAATGGTGTGGGGAGAAAACCCTGAACACATAATGTGGTCCTTTGCATAAATGTACATATTACCAGAAAATGTCATTTTTATTTTAACTCTTTTGGGAAATACTGTAGGGACTTAGAAAATTTCCTCCTTTATGCTGTTATTTTTGCATTTAAATGAATTTTATTTGTGGCACAGGGATTTTTTTTTTCTTTTTTCTTTCTGACATTGAGTCCTTCAGAATAGCCATTCTAGTCTCAGTGCTTAGCGTATTCAATGTTGGTGCTACAGTTTAGTTTATTTGAATTAATGTCTGTGTAGCTTTTGAAAACACAGTTGGAAGGAAATGGAGAGCCCTCACTTTTGCATCAAACACAGTGTGTGAGTGATAGCAAGCATCGCCTGCCTCAGTGGCCCTGGTGACAGGAAACAGGCATTGCGTTTGCACCCACCAGAGTCTTCCATAGAAATGAGGAAAGAAAAGAACCACTGGATTAGGGGATGGCACTGGATTGTGGACCCCACTTCACAGGCCCTGGAGCCCACTGACTGTGACACCTTTCTTTGCTTCCTACCTCTGCCGTTCTCGTCTCTTTTTCCATCTTTCATCCCACTTCTGTTGGCATACCTTATAGGGGGACGTATTTTAATAATGGGGTATGGTAATTGTTTTGAATATTGAAAACAATTATTTTGAGAGGGAGGGTTTCTTGAAAGACTTTAAAAACCAGGTACAGCCGGGCGCTGGTGGCTCACGCCTGTAATCTTAGCTACTCAGGAGGCTGAGATCTAAGGATCATGGTTCAAAGCCAGCCTGGGCAGGAAAGTCCATGAGACTCTTATCTCCAGTAAACCACTAGAAAACCGGCACTGTGCCTCAAGTGGTAGAGCGCTTGCCTTGAGCTGAAGAGCACAGGGACAGCGCCCAAGCCCAGAGTTCAAGCCCCCATGACGTGCCAAAAAACAAAAACAAACCAGGTACAGGTGGCTCACTCCTATAATCCTAGTACTTGGGAGGCCAAGATAGGGAGCATTGTGGTTAAGGCTAGCCCAGTCCCCTTCCCCCTCCCCCCCAAAAAAAATCACTGGACTCTCTTAATTTGAAACTGGATTCAAACGATGCATGAGATCCTGTCTGAAAAATAAGCAGTGTAATAAAGGGCTTAGAGGCGTGGTTCAGTGGTAGAGCACTGGCCTAACAAGCACAAGGCCCAACTTCAAACCCCATTCACCTCAACTGATACTACTATAGCTGAATAAATGAATTTTCACCATTAAAAACATTAAACTGCTAATAAGTGGGTGCTAACAGTTTATTACTGTAGGAGCGTCCTGTACTGAGGCTTAGGAAGGGAAAGGTGACTATCCCAGTGTGCATTCATTTTTACTTAAAAGACAAAAAAAGCAGAATCTAGTATAAAAACGATAATAAATATAAAAATTTGAAGTTAAGTGTTCGTAGAATCTCCTCTCTTGAACCCTACCACTCTGATCTGCTTGGAATATATTCTGGAATCCCCTTGTGTCAGTCATCACTCAAGTCTGGCTGTCTCCAGGGTTCCAGGCTTCAGGACACTAACTTCCAGTGGGATGGATTTTTGTGGCCCAGTGAGCAAACAGTTTTTGTGCAGAACCAGTTACCAGCTTTTTCTTTTTTTTTCGTCCGGTCGTGGGCCTGAACTCTGGGCCTGGACGCTGTCCTCAGCTCTTCAGCTCAAGGCTAGCACTCTACCACTTGAACCACAGCACCACTTCCGTTTTTTTTTTTCTTTTTTGCTTACGTGGTGCTGAGGAATCAAACCCAGGGCCTTATGCATGCAAGGCGAGCGCTCTACCACTGAGCCACCTTCTCAGCCCTCCAGCTTTTTCTTGTTGGGGACCTGCTGTGTGTGATGCTGCGTTACTGGGGTCCTATAGTAAACAGAGCGGGTTCCCCACTGGCCTGGAGCATCCCGCAGCTGGTTGGGGGGGCAGGGTGTGGCACAGGGCAGGTGTATCTCATTGGAAGCCACACAAGTCAGACAAGCCATTGGAGGGCCCCGGGAGCCGGGTGAGGATTAGTAGGAGTCTGAGCTTTTTGCTGATTAAAAGATCAGTCAGTGTTGCCAGAAAACCTAAGGGACAGCCTTGAAATCTAATTAAGAAGGACCTTTGCTACATAAATCAGTCACTTAATCAGGCAGAAATGTTTGGCAAACTTCAACATGAGTCTACAACACAGTTTTGCAAGAACGAGATGGCTCATCAGTCGCATTTGGGGTGAGCTGCTGTTGTCGAGGCTCAGAGCAGTGTTTCGCACAAGATGGAAATTGATTTCGTTCTCACACTTGAGGTCGCCATGGCTGTCCAGTCTGCAGCCTTTGTCCTCAGCAGCTGCCCGTGTTTCAGTGCCAGGGCTGGGGAGGGTGCCTGTGTCCCATCTGCTCGTGCAACTGAGTTATGTAGACGTGTGTTGCTGCCCAACTGAGGGTTTGCAGGGTAGAGGAAGAAGGGACAGGGAATTAGAAGTCATGCACAGATGGAATGTAGTCTGCATTTTTTTTAAGGCAGTCTATTTATTCTTTTAAGAGCCTAGTGTGATGGTGTATATGCCTGTAATCCCAGCACTTGAGAGTCTGAGTTGTGAGGATCACAAGTTGAAGACCAGCTTAGGCTGGTCTCAGGCCTCCTCCCCATTCTTCGTTTAAAAGTTTACGATGCTTTAATGATGGTGTTGCCCTGTCTAGAAATTGTAATGGCAAAGTGTACTCATTTGTGACTCAGACTTCCTCCTAAGGAGGAGGAACTGATGGTTGAGAGAGCTGCTGTGGGGCCCCTACTGCTTCCATACGGGGACTGAACTTGGTCGGGGCCTTGTGCATGTCAGGAAGTGCACTACCATGTGACCTGTGCCCCCAAGCCACAAATAACATTTGTAGTGGGTTCAACACTTTTCATTGTGTTCTCCACAGAGACAAAACCAGCAGGGGAAGGGACAGAGACCAGGAAGGAGGTTGGGAGAGGGAGGAAGGGAGGAAGGGAGGGATGGATAGATGGATGGTTGGCTGGATGGATGGATGACAGGGATTTCATTAGGGAGAATTGCTCATGTGATAACAGAAGCTGACAAGCCTCACAGTAGTCTTGTCTGTGAGTTGGAGAGCCAGGGAAGTCAGTAGTGTGGCTCAGTCTATGCTCATAGTTTAGGATAAGTGGAGAAGGGTTCCTACGAATGCCAGCACCCAAAGGTAAAGGTAGGAGAATGTGGAGTGACAATGCCCAAAGGCAAGCGCTGCAGCTCCAGAGGAGATGGTGGATTTGCCTTTCCATGGTGGCTTGGTTGCCTGGGCCCTGGACAGGTTGTGTGGTGACCGCCAGCACTGGGTAAAGGCCCATCTTCTCTTAGTACACTGGTCCAAATGTTAGTCTCCTCTGGAAATGCCATTAGAGACATGCCTAGAAAAGTGCTTTACACTATCAGGCTATCCATTAGCTAGCCAAGTTGACAACCAAAATGTACCATTACAGATGCCAAGGAGGGTTTTACCCCCACCCAAATGGAATGCGTTTCTTTACTCTCCTCCTCTCCCCACTCAGGCATGTAAACCAAAGTTGAATGGAGATCAAGCCACAGTTAAGAAGGCTCACACTGTGGCAGAGACTTTACTAATCCAGGGAGAGACTTTCAGTTAGTTTTCCTCAGCTTCTCTTCTCATCTCTTGTGAAACCAGGCTGCCATGACGCTTTTTATTTTTTGGTAGGTCATGGGGCTTGAACTCTGGGCCTGGGCCCTGTCCCTGTGCTCTTCAGCTCAAGGCAAGCGCTCTACTGCTTGAGCCATAGCGCCACTTCCGGTTTTCTAGTGGTTTTATTGGAGATAAGAGTCTCACGGCCTGGCTTGGCCTGCCTGGCCAGGCTTTGAACCATGATCCTCAGATCTCAGCCTCCTGAGTAGCTAGGATTACAGGCGTGAGCCACCAGCACCCGGCTAGCCTGACACTTTTGTCCAGGGCTGCATGAGAGGCTGGGTAAGCCCAAGCCATCCAGCCATCTGCTTGGGTCTTGACACAGACCAGGACTTGGCACGTGGTTTTGAATGTCTGGATTGTTTCCGGTGTTGTGGAAGTGAACACAGGAGCGAGGAAGCAGCATCTCAGCACTCGCCTTTCCCACAGAATGAGAATAACGCATCTTCCTTGTTTTGAGAATTTGAACTTGTAATTCTGTGAACATTGAGAAACAGATGTGGAGAGGGCAGACTCGTGAGACAGCATGTTTGAGACCCTGGGCTTTGGAATGTAATATTTTCAGTATATTTCTTGAAAATGAGACTCTAGGTCAAATAACGGGGAAAAAATGAGGCTCTCTGCCCACTCAGGACCCCCACAAGCCCTTTGGGTGTCACACAGGACATCTAGTGAGGGCAGGAGACAAGCAAGGGGTGCCTTAGTGTGTGTTTCCCATGGTATGCAGTATGTGTGTCCGTTGAACGCTGACTGTGGGCATCACAGGGCTGTGTCTTCAGCCTGGGGTATGGTGGCATTGGTTGTCAAGTTAGAAATCAATACAGAGACAACATGGAGGAGAATTGAATCCACTTAGTAACTTGCCTGCTCTGACAGCTCTGCTGCAAGGCCTTGTTCTGCTGCTTGGATCTGTGTGATTGAGTCCCTTGCTTGCCTCTGGGTGACAGAGACATAATGTCAGATCCAAACTGACCTCTTTAACCTGTCTGATTTTCCTTTCACATGGGGGCAAGTGATGTGCCATTTCTTCCTTACATCTCTGTACAAGAATGGATGCTGTAGAGTCTGTAGTAGCAACTTCTTTGAGTTTCTCAGAATAAAAGCTTTCTGAGGTAACTGGTGCCTTATTAGGGATAACTAATAAATAATTTTCATTGTATATGTACTACGTAATAGTCTCAAGGTGTTAAAAAAGAACTCTTCTAGGGGCTGGGAAGGTGGCTCAGTGGTAGAGCGCTTGCCTTGCATGAATGAGGCCCTGGGTTTGATTCCTCAGCACCACATAAGAAAAAAAAAAAAGAAAAAGAAAACCGGAAGTGGCGCTGTGGCTCAAGTGGTAGAGCGCTAGCCTTGAGCTGAAGAGCTGAGGGACAGCGCCCAGGTCCAGAGTTCAGGCCCCACGACTGGACCCAAAAACAACAACAACAAAAAAATAAATAACCTCTTCTAGCTATGGTTTCCCCAGTTAGAGAGCTTTAAAAATGCAGATTTCAAAATCCTGGTCAAAGTTCCGTTCTAGAAAGCGGTGAGCTCCCCGGTCTCTCTCTCCCTTTTCCTAGAACTTGTGTTTTTAGTTTTATTTTCTGTGGTCCTGAGGATTGAACTGGGAGCCTGTGCTTGCCAAGTGCGAGCCAGGCTTCTGTCCACAACTTGTTATTCTGGTTGCAGGGCTGAGCCTTCCAGTCAGGTGAGGAAGTCCACAGGGCGGGTCCTGCCTGCACTGGGAGTCTGTCCCGGGGTGCACAGCCCTGCCCGGCTTCCGTCCTGGCCTAGCCTGTGGCGAAGGTGTCCAGGGGGGGCTCTCTCTCCCATGGATTCTCAGCTGGCCTTGCTTCCTTCAGCAGTCATATTTTCTCTGCTTTTTAAGGATTCTTTAATAGATTTTAATTGTTTAAGCAAAACTGCTTTAAGTGAAGAGGTTTTTATTATCCTTGTCTACTTAACATGGATATTGCCCCTTATCTCAAATTATGTGTCAGATAATGACTGAAGTAATTGTAACAACCCTTTTTTCTTGGTAGTTGGAGCCTGGCCCTTTAGATGAAACGCAGATTGCCACCATATTAAGAGAAATACTGAAAGGACTTGATTATCTTCATTCAGAGAAGAAAATCCATAGAGATATTAAAGGTAAGAGCACTTGCTTTCGTCCCTCTGCAATAACCTGAGGAGGCAGAGCCCGCAGGGCTTTGCCGCCCTGTGTTCCTGGGCATGGGCTGCCGGAAGCACAGCCCTGGGCCTGGGCTGGGAGAGAAAGCACACCCTCCAGGATGCCCGGAGCCTATGTCCGGCTGCCACGGTTGTTCTTCTCCACAGCGGCCAATGTCCTGCTTTCTGAACATGGAGAGGTGAAGCTGGCTGACTTTGGAGTGGCTGGCCAGCTGACAGATACCCAGATAAAAAGGAACACCTTCGTAGGCACCCCCTTCTGGATGGCGCCCGAGGTCATCAAACAGTCAGCTTACGACTCCAAGGTAAGAGTCAGCTGGTCCAGGGGGTTCTCTCCTTTTGTTCATTCTTCACCTGCAGCTTTCCTGTCTGGAACCTCAGTAAGTAGCCCATCAAGGTCATGGTGTGACCTTGGTTAAAATCACTTTTCCTCTCTCTCCCACTGCATCACTAAATGCAGTACACTGCGTGTACTGGGTAGCATGCATTCAGAGGAGCTTGTATGAGGGAGGGGGCCAGGCACAGGGTGATGGTGTGAGATAGGCACAGAGACGGCCTCTGAGATGCCACCAGGACCACAGCACACTCCTGTGTCCTTCCTGCTGGGAGCAGAAAGCAGGAAGGAGGCTGAGGCCCAGCCACAGTGCTGCCACTGTTGGAAGGGCAGACAAGGGGGAGGGGGAGGGGTGGCGGAGGCTGCCACAGCAGAACGGGGAAAGAGCAGTCTGTTAGGGTGCTCGATCTCCTCCTACTGTATTATTTTTAGTTCTCAATTAGGATCTGCATTTCCAGAAGCTCCTTATCAACTCAAGATGAAATGCCATCCCTTCTGCAGCTGTTTTTCCTTCTCAAATTATGTTCTCCTAGTTTTTCTTATATCCCTTGCAGAGACTCTGTGCCTCTGTTTATCCTTTCTCATAATCTACTTCTCTCAGGCCTCACATAATAAAAACATACCATGATCGACAGAGAATTACCTTTGCTGAGCCAATAACTTCAAAGCAAAAAAAAAATTATATATATATATATAATTAAGTTGGGTGCCAGTGGCTCACGCCTGTAATCCTAGCTACTCAGGAGGCTGAGATCTGAGGATTGAGGTTCAAAGCTAGCAGGAAAATCCGTGAGACTCTTATCTCCAGTTAACCACCAGAAAACCAGAAGTGGTGCTATGGTTCAAATGGTAGAGCCTTGAGCTGAAGAGCTGAGGGACAGCGCCCAGGCCTAGAGTTCAAGCCCCACAAGCGACAAAAATAGTAATAGTAATTAGGTATGTTGACATTGTGTGTTTTTATGTATTTATTTTTTGAGATGGTCTTACTCATAACCCTGGCTGATCCCCTTTGTTGCAAACTCATGTGCTGGGATTACAGGAGTGTGTTACCACACTCAGCATGTATCTTTTAAAAATGGAAACTTTATGTCTGTGTCCTGGTGGCTTCTGACTAATCCTAGCTACTTAGGAGGTTAAGTTTAAGTTCTGAGTATGATAGTTCAAAACCATCCTTGGCAGGAAAGTCTGGGCATTTCTTTTATCTCCAATTAACCATCCAAGAAAAGCCAGAAGTGGAATTGTGGCTCAAGTGGTAGAGTGCTAGCCTTGAACAGAAAAGCTCACAGACAGTACCCACGCTCCTAGTTCAATACCCAGGACCAGAACATACTTGCGCATACGTGCGCATGCACGCACGCGCACACACACACACACACACACACACACACACACACACACAGAAATGGAAACTTCAGTGTGTAATAGATCTCTCTCTTAGAGTTATGTCACTTTAGCCAGCCTGGCATGGCTCAGGTGGTAGAGTGCAAGTTGAGTTATGTCACTTTAGGACTTGGCAGGAATGTAGGTGTTTATCCATCCTCTTCATTTGTCGAAGTATGTATGTCTAGACTTGGATAGGGGAGAGTAGAACCCAAGTTCTGAACTTCTCAATCACTTCTCATTCTTTATAGTAAATTAGCTGCTGTGCCATGACCCATGTGACTTTAAGCTCCTGCTACACATTTCCTTCCTTCCTTCCTTCCTTCCTTCCTTCCTTCCTTCCTTCCTTCCTTCCTTCCTTCCTTCCTTCCTT